TAAAACTATCCCTCAGATTAAGAAATACTACATTGCTAGTCCCTTAAAGCTCCCTTATGCCCCACATTCACTGCACCCAGCCTCAAACTTTTGAGTTCATCATTCCTTTGCTTCTTTTGTTTGTTTTTACCAGCTGAGCCATCCTGCCACCTGTTGGCAGCTCAGCGACAGCTCAGCTTGGGCACAGCGTCACTGGCCCATGTGGGAATCGAACTGGCGGCCCTGTTGCTCAGAGCTTGCGCTCTTAAGCCAACTCTTAACCAACCGAGCCACTTGGCCGGCCCCGTGCTTCTCCATGTATATTCCCTAAATGATACTTTGCTTAGTTTGGAAACACTGAGTGACAGGCACAAACTTAGCTGTGTAAGGAAAGGGTAATTAGCCACTTTTAGGTGAAGGTTCCCCAGAGAAGAGAAGCTTAACAGAGTGGGTCATGATCTGACCTCAGTATCCCTGAGACTTCCCAAGAGCCCCTTCAGGGAAAGACTGCGGGCAAGGTCATGTGAGTGAGCCCTGGGGAACTTAGAATGATTTGGTGTTTATAAAAACATGCTATTTTTCCCCAGCTTCATTGAGATATAATGGACATAACATCATGCAAGTTTAAGGTGTACAGCATGTTGATTTGACACCACTTGTATATTGCAAAATGATGACCAGCATAGCATTAGCTAACACCTCTTATGGTTACCATTTTTGTGTGTGATGAGAATCTTATTTCTCAGTAAATTAAAGTACAACACCCATGCAAGCTGGAATGCTAGCTGTTTGGTTAACAAGGACCTAACATCGTAACAAGAAGTCTGTTAACTTTAAAAGTGGGACCTTTTTCAATCTTTATCCAGTGATGCCTCTCCCATTCCTCTTGGTGTGGGGGCTTATGACCCTGTAACTTCATACAGAGCATCTAGGTTTCCAAACACTTCTTCCTGTTGTTTCGAGTCTTGTAACTTTATCAGCTGAGCTACANCCCTTGAGTTGATCTTAGCATGATATGCTGAGGGAGAGACCCGATTCTGTTTGGAAGCTGTTGAGTGGTTGTGCTTCAGATATGACTCACTTAGATGTTTGGTTTCTGGGAGGACAGGCAGAAGAAAAGGTGAGGTGAAGTGGCGTTAGGCACCACTGCCAAACTTGGTTGCGTTCACCTGATAGAAATGACCTATTGTTTGGCCTGTCTTCCTGCTTTCTGTTGGCACCGTTCTCATTCCTTGGGACAAGGTTTCTCTTTGATATTTTTAAAATACAGACATTTAAATGTTTCCCATCTTCCACAGTTTGATTGGTGGCTCTGACTACAAACTGATTTATCGGCACTATGCTACCCTCTACTTTGTATTTTGTGTGGATTCATCAGAGAGTGAGCTTGGGATCTTGGACCTCATCCAGGTATGTGTAATCAGCTAGTGACGGCAGCCACTTTAGAGTTTACACTGGATTTCTGAGTAACCATCCTGTAGAACCTTTTCTCAGTCTCTTTACCGATAACTAGTAAAAGTTGCCAGATGTCCACTAGATGGTGCTGTGAGAAAACGCCTTAGCAACCCTTACAAACTCTTAGAGCTTTTGGATTCATTGGTTTCTACTCAGCCCTCTCACTGCCCTTGGTTTTCATACACGATTCTGACACCAATTCCAATGTGTGTGTATGTCTCACTCCCATCACCAAGCAGTTAACTCAGTTCTCCATGGACACTGACCAGATGTCCCATAAATTTAACTCTATTCTGACACTGTCTATCTGGAGATAGATACCAAATATAAGACCAGGGTGTCTGTCACCTGTACTTCTGACTGACTGGATATAGAACAGAGGTTCACAAGACTTCCTCCTCAGGTTTGATTAATTTGCTAAAGTAGCTCACAGAACTCTCTAGAGAAACATTTTACTTACTAGATTACCAGCTTATTATGAAAGCATGTAACATAGGAGCGGCCAGATGGAAGAGATATGTAGAGCAAGGTATGGGGAAAGGGCACCGAGCTTGCATGCCCTCTCCAGGAACACCATTCTCCCAGACTCTCCTGCGTAGAAACCAAGGAATCCAAAAGCTCTGGTGTATTTGAAATGAAGATACATATTCAAGATTTCCATTTATTTGTCCCTAGGTATATTAAATGTAGCTTTTTAAGTTTTCTCTTCACAAAATAAAATATAGTATGTAAGCACGTAAAGTTTATATTTTAGAGCTAGAGAGTTTTCTATAATTGTCGTTAATTAGGTTTTTTAATTTTTCTTATTTTTTACAATCTTTTTTTGAGGTTTTTTTCAATTACAGCTG